AAAGGGGAAGAGAGGCAGGCCAGTAAACTCATGGGTCCTGCCGTTCAATGTCTGACTGTTTAGTGGGGAACAAAAGAGCCATTTAGGGGGCCTGTGAAGGGGGAACTGATGTTTGAACCTGGACATATCCATCAGGGGGACAAGATGGGTCACCCTACACAAATTGCTTTTGACACAAGACTGTAGCAATCTTAAAATCTTAAACACTTACCTTTGAAAGAATATTTGAGACACAAGTAACTTCAGAGGATATCTAGTTCAACTTCCTTCTGTTTGTTTCTGGAGTCTACAAACCTAAAAGAGGAAGAGACTCACACAAAGTTCCATGGAAACTAGGGACAGAATCAGAACAAGAAGCCATGTTCTACACACTGAGAGAGAAATTAAGGAAACTACAGTTTTCACAATAGCACCCAAAAAATTGAAATGTTTAGGAATCAGTCTAATGAAAGAAGTAAAAGATCTATATGGTGAAAATTAGAGTACTCTGAAAAAAGAGATCAAAGAGGATATCAGAAAATAGAAAGATATTCCTTGCTCGTGGACAGGAAGAAACAACATTGTGAAAATGCCCATACTCCCAAAATTGTTATATAGATTCAGTGCAATTCCAATCAAAATACTATTAGTGCTGGGGATATAGCTCAGAGGCACAGTGCCTGCCTGGCAAGTGCAAGGTCCTGGTAACAAAACAACAACAACAAAACCAAAATACCATTAGTATACCTCACAGATCTAGGGAAAACATGCCTAAAATTCATTTGGAAGCAGAAGAGACCCAGAATAGCAAAAGAAATCATGGGCAACAAAGGCAAGGCAGGAGGCATCACAATCCCCTACTTGAAATTATACAACAAAGCTACTATGATCAAATCAGCATGGTACTAGCAAACACCCAACAGACCTGAGGATCAGTGGAACAGACTAGAAGATGCAGGCACAACCACAAACATATTCAGCCACCTTATCTTTGACAAAGGGGCCAAACATGTTCACTGGAAAAAAGATAGCCTCTTTAATAAATGGTGCTGGAAAAACTGGCTCTCCACATGCCGAAGACTAAAAATAGACCCATGTCTATCATCATGCACTAAACTAAAGTCAAAATGGATCAAAGATCTAAATATTAAAACCAAAACACTAAATCTACTTGAAGAGAAAGTCGGTGGAAATCTTGAAGACATAGGGATAAACAGAGTTCATAAACAAAAGCCAAACTGGACGGGAAATATTTCAAAGAATCAATACCTGGGATCTTGTCTTATTGAAAAGCTATTGCACATCAAAAGAAATTACCAACAGAATAAAAAGAAAACTTACAAATTGGGTAAAAATGTTAGCTAACTGTCCCTCAGACAGAGGCCTTCTATCTAGAACATATAAAAAATTTTAAAAATCAGGCCCCAAAATTCAAAGACCCAATCCAAAAATGGGCA